CTGACACTACTAATGGCACTGGGCAGGAAGGGGTTAACATGAGGGGAAATCAAAGGGTTAACTGTGTGCTGGGAGTGTTTTACTAGGGGGGCAGGGTGTTGGTGCTTCACTGTTAGGACACTGCTCTGAATGGCAGTGTGCCTGAGCTGACAGGGAAGAGGACTGTTAGTAAACAAAGCAGCCCTCCTCCCAGTCGGAGTTCCTTGGTAATCACCGGCCGGGACCCAGTGATTGACAGCCGCGGTATCACATCAAATACACACACTATCATTCTTTTGCGCACCCCTGTCGCCCTGTAGCAGTATATCTGCTATAGGGCGAGGGGGATGTGATTAATGGCATCCCAGTCTTAGTCCGTAGGGTTCAGTATTGAGTTGACGCACCCTCTGCAGCTTCAACTCTTCTGGGAAGGCTGTCCACAATGTTTAGGAGTGTGTTTATGGGAATGTTTGGTCTTTCTTCCAGAAGCACATTAGTGAGGTCAGGCACTGATGTCGGACAAGAAGGCCTGGCTCACATTCTCTGCTCTAATCCTAGATTGTAAGCTCCAAGGAGTAGGGCCCTCCTATCCCTCTTGTATTGAACTGTATTGTTGCTGTATTGTCTCCCGTTATATTGTAAAGCGCTGAGCAAACTGTTGGCACTATATAAATCCTGTATAATAATAATAATTCATCCCAAAGGTGGTCTATTGGATTGAGGGCAGGACACCGTGCAGGCCAGTCAAGTTCCTCCACCCCAAACTCGCTCATCCATGTCTTTATGGCCCTTGCTTTGTGCACTGGTGCACAGTCATGTTGGAACAGGAAGGGGCCATCCCCAAACTGTTCCTACAAAGTTGGGAGCATGAAATTGTCCAAAATGTCTTGGTATGCCGACGCCTTAAGAGTTCCCTTTACTGGAACTAGGGGACCAAGCCCAACCCCTGAAAAACAACCCCACACCATAATCCCCATTCCACCAAACTTTACAATTGGCGCAATGCAGTCTGGCAAGTACCGTTCTCCTGGCAACCGCCAAACCTAGATATGTCCATCGGATTGTCAGACAGAGAAGTGTGATTTGCCACTCCAGAGAACACGTCTCCGCTGTTCTAGAGTCCACTGGTGGCACGCTTTACACCACTGCATCTGACACTTTGCATTGTACTTGGTGATGTAAGGCTTGGAAGCAGCTGCTCAGCCATGGAAACCCATTCCATGAAGCTCTCTACGCACTACTGTTGTGCTAATCTGAAGGCCACATGAAGTTTGGTGTTTAACTATTGACTCTGCAGACAGTTGGTAACTTCTGCACACTGTGCACTTCAGCATGCACTGACCCCGCTCTGTCATTTTACGTGGCCTACCACTTCGTGGCTGAGTTGCTGTTGTTCCCAGTTGCTTTCACTTTGTTATAATACCACTAACATTTGACCATGGAATATTTAGTTTCAAGAAATTTCACAGATGGACTTCTTGCACGGGTGGCAACCAATCACGGTACCACGCTTGAACTCAATGAGCTCCTGAGAGAGAACCATTCTTTCACAAATGTTTGTAGAAGCAGTCTGCATGCCCAGGTGCTTGATTTTATACACCTGTGACCATGGAGGGGATTGGAACACCTGAATCCAATGATTTGGAGGGGTGTCCCAATACCTTTAGCAATATAGCTAAATATAGGGACCAAAAGGGAGCTGTTTGAATGGACCCAATGGGCATACAATACTGCTACATTCAGATCCGTATAAATGATGGATCTGAATGCAGTATATTGTATGCCTTTATGTAGGAGACCTTACTTTTCAATTCAAATTTACTTTAATGCACATAAAAGCTCTGTACACTCTCAAGGTGGGAAGGAACAGGTTTGTCCAGATAAGAGTAAAATTTACAACCGATTGTAGAATCATCATTGAAGAAAATCAGAGAATATGTCAGACATGACTTGAAATAATACAGATAAGCACAAGTTTACAAAGGCTGGGTTCACACTGATGCAGTGAGGAATTTGCAGTGTTTTCTGAGCGAATTCCGCACCGCATCAGAATCGCATCCCGTTCATACGAACCGACGCGAGTGTGTATGTTAAGTTAACAACACCCTGAAATAGGTCTTCAAAACGTGGTGCAATGTGCAGAATCGGATAGCATAGGTGTGAATACCTATGCGATCCGATTTTAATGTGGACCCAAAAAAGGGGTCCTGCACCTTTTTGTTGCGGGTGTGGTGCAATTGGAGCCATACATAATGTATGGCTCCAATTAAACTGCACACAAATCGCATGTGATATGTACAGGAATGCGGTGCGGTTCCTGTGCGAATCACAAGCGATGTATCACACTGCATTAGTGTGGACCTAGCCTTAAATTTGTCACAGAATATAGATTGGGGGGGGGGGGGGGGATCAAGCAAGGACCTCTAAATTTGCTTTAAAAGCTCCAGAAAGCTGAGCTATTGTATTCTGGTAGATAGGCAAAACCCCCCCCACCCCACCCCACCCATCAGAATACACTGATCAGCACTGCAGCCATTAGCTGGTTTTCCAGGAGGACCATTTAAGAGAGGCCAAAAGACTGGTTTTGGTTGAACAGAGAGGGCTACACACAGACAGAAATTCTGCCACTTCTTGTTGAACTGGCTGAATTTCTGTGCATGTGTACCCGGGCTTTACATTTACCTGTCTTTTCACATCCATTTAGGTTGCAGCATATGTGTTACTACTAGAGTCATAAACAGATTATTCTTAAAGAAGAGGTAACACGTGACAGCAGTTCTGTGAGCTTTATAAGGATGTTGCACAACAGACAACTGTAGATGAAAATGATTCATAGAGTAGTGTCCAGTGTTAAATAGGTCATGCTACCATTACACTTCACTACTGCTTTACATGATATATTTGGTCTAATCTACTCAAGTGTTACTAGTATGGGTGATGAAAGAGGACAAGCCAGGGCCATAATACATAAAATACAAGACAAGTAAATGTTCAGTGTACTTATTAGCTGTTATAGTGTGAAAACAATATGAGTGAAGAGGTCTATGCCCTTAACAAGTCCTATTAAAGAGGTTATCACAATAAAATAGATAATCCATTGACATCTGATAAATGTAGCACAGTGGGAGACATCAATAAGCACTTCTAAAACATAAAACAGTAGCTGTGTGGTCTTTCTAAAGACAAGTTGCCACACTGGGAAAACCACTTTTTTCAACATCCCAGTCTCCACTTATCCATGTCTAAGCAACTCTTTGACGTCTTATTGCAAATGGCAACAGTTAAACGCATATTGCCATTCGGGTTCATTAAAAAAAAAAAGACAATTAATAAAACATGGGGTCTGTCAAACAATTTAGCTATAGTCACTACCATATACAGTGCCTTGAAAAAGTATTCATACCCCTTGAAATGTTCCACATTTTGTCATGCTACAACCAAAAATGTAAATGTATTTTATTGGGATTTTATGTGATAGACCAACACAAAGTGGCACATACTTTGTAGAGGCACCTTTCACTGCAATTACAGCGTCAAGTCTTTTTTGGGTACATTTTTGCACATCTAGAATGTGACATTTTTGTCCATTCATCTTTGCAAAATAGCTCAAGCTCTGTCAGATTGGATGGAGAGAGTCTGCACAGCAATTTGCAAGTCTTGTCACAGATTCTCAATTGGATTTAGGTCTGGACTTTGATTGGGCCATTCTAACACATAAATATGCTTTGATCTAACGCATTTCATTGAAGCTCTGGCTGTATGTTTAGAGTCGTTGTCCTGCTGGAAGGTGAACCTCCGCTCCAGTCTCAAGTCTTTTGCAGACTCTAGCAGGTTTTCTTCTAAGATTGCCCTGTATTTGGCTCCATCCATCTTCCCATCAACTCTGACCAGCTTCCCTGTCCCTGCTGAAAAAAAGCATCCCCACAACATGATGCTGCCACCACCATGTTTCACGGTGGGGATGGTGTGTTCAGGGTGATGTGAGTTTTCCACCACACATAGCATTTTGCTTTTAGGCCAAAAAGTTCAATTTTGATCTCAGCTGACCAGAGCACCTTCTTCCACATGTTTGTTGTGTCCCCCACATGGTTTCTCACAAACTGCAAACGGAACTTCTTATGGCTTTCTTTCAACAATGTCTTTCTTCTTATCAATCTTCCATAAAGGCCAGATTTGTGGAGTGCACGACTAATAGTTGTCCTGTGGACAGATTCTCCCATCTAGGCTGTAGATCTCTGCAGCTCCTCCAGAGTTACCATGAGCCTCTTGGCTGCTTCTCTGATTAATGCTTGCCTTGCCCGGCCTGTCAGTTTAGGTGGACGGCCATGTCTTGGTAGGTTTGCAGTTGTGCCATACTCTTTCCCATTTTCAGATGATGTATTGAACAGTTCTCAGTGAGATGTTCAAAGCTTGGGAGATATATATATATATTTTTATAAACCGAACCCTGCTTTAAACCTCTCAACTTTATTCCTGACCTGTCTGCTGTGTTCCTTGGCCTTCATGACGAAGTTTGTTCACTAATGTTCTCTAACAAACCTTTAAGGGCTTCACCGAACAGCTGTATTTATACTTAGATTAAATTACACACAGGTGGATCCTATTTACTGATTAGGTGACTTCTGAAGGCAATTGGTTCCACTAGATTTTAGTTAGGGGTTTTAGAGTAGCATAAAGGGGCTGAATACAAATGCACACCACACTTTTCAGATATTTGTAAAAAAACTTTGAAAACCATTTATCATTTTCCTTCCACTTAACAATTATGTGCCACTTTGTTTTGATCTATCACATAAAATCCCAATAAAATACGTTTCTCAAGACACTGTACCCAAATGGAATATCCTTGCAACCAAGTGATTTCAAAAGAACTAGCCAAATGGAATTGCTTAAACATGCCTGCTTACTGTGCCATTGTATAACATAACCAAGCCAGGAACCCTGATTGCACTCAATATGGCTGCCGTAGCCCACAACCCTTTATAAAAAGGAAATTTGTCTGGAGCTGAAATCATGCTCACCTGGAATGACTGCTGATTCACCAAGCTATACACCAAGATGAAACCCTGCCCATTCTTAATGTATAAATCCCTCATGGAGGCAAACTGCTCTGTGCCAGCTGTATCCAGGATCTCCAGTACAGATGGTGAAGAGTCCACCTCAATCTCCTTCCGGTAGAAATCCTCAATGGTGGGGTCATATTTCTCAATAAAAGTGCCTGTAACAAACTGTACAGTCAGGGCTGACTTCCCAACACCTCCGCTGCCCAACACCACCACTTTGTACTCCCTCATGGACCCAGAGAGGAAGAGTCAATCTGTACATGCACTGCAACTAGACAGCAGGAGGAGTGGTGTTAATGTGATGGATAGAGTTTCAAGGAGGTCATATCCTCGGTCAGTAAGAAGCGTCCACTGGAGGTCGTGTTCTTAGAGAACGTAACGTCCCACTGTTTTGCAGATGGTGTCCTTCTATTGCTGTGGAAGGACTCAACACCTTCTCTATCTCTCCAGACTCCTGTGAATATTAAACAGCAAAAGTAAGAGAATGTTATTTCCAAAGAAGACAACTACAGAATTATTTCACTCCTACCAACAAAACATATTGGTACCTAAGCTGTCTTTTTCTTGCAACATAATCATTTATCAACCACTCATGTCATCTACATAGGTTTCACAACACAGTCATTGACTGAAACATATGCAGATCAGAGGTTCTGACTTCACTTGCTGCATGCTTGTTTGAAGCAGTGATTCAGAATGCACTGCAGTCAGTCACCAATGGCAACCTACATTACAGTTTGTGACGCATTCTGTAGACCTGTATTGAGGGCAGTCAGACTGTGCCTAGACAAATGATTGCCCTTTCAAGCGATGGGCCAATGGAAATGTCAGCAGTAAAAAACCCAATTTCGTACAAACTGACACTACTAGGAGCATGCGTTGCTGCAACACACAGCAACGCAACTGCTCTATATGCAGAGCAATTCATTTGAATGGCAACCCAACACATTGTACAGTAGAGCATGTGGCAATGCAGTGCACCACAATGTGCGTTTTTTTGCACATGCGTTTGATAAGTTTTTGATGTGTTCCCCCCCAAACTTGTTGCTGGGCAGATTAAAACACAAAATTATTCAAAAAACACACTACATGCATTTCTGCAGCGTCTCCATTGACGTCTATTGAACCAAAAATGCAACATTTCGCATTTAAAAAAAAAGTCTGACCCTTTGAAAAAAAAACGCACCGGGTGAAAACGCGGAGATATGAATGTGTCCCGTAGGAAATCATGTTAAATGGACTGTAGTGCATTTCTGCACAGTGAAAAACGCACCGCAAAACACTTAGGTGTGAACCTAGAATTAATGTGTACCACATTGTTGGTTGATGCATGTACATTAATACACTGCTATGGAATGTTTTAGTGTTAATAGGCCCTCAATACTGTCTCCATTATCCTAATTTCAGCTTACCCACAAACCTCCAGAGCTCTGCTTTGAACATCCAGTCTGAACAGTGCATGCACATTCACAGTAATATGCACTGCCTGCCTCATACTACATCTCCCAAGATAACTTGTTCCCATTAGGCAATGCACATGCATGCACACTAGAACACATTTTCTGGGTCCTCCTGTAAGTTAAGGCGTCAGCCAGAATCATGGTAGCGGTTCCCTAGTTCTGCTGTTAGTCAGTTAGGCCATGGATGGGTCATTAGAGGAATTAGCTGGTTTTACAGCTAGAAGTTATATGAGGGCTGGGTGCATAGGTATAAACCGCTGAAGGACACATCAGGAACATGTCCAGGAGGTGACCCATGATGAAAAGGAAAGAAAATTGATTAACCTATGGCTTGCCTAATATATCCAAAATGGGGGAAAAAAAAGAAAAGAAAAATGCTTTGTCTTAAGTTATACCATAAAGGTAACTGCACCTGAACTGCTTTTAATAATGTGTAGACTGCATAATGCATGCAAAGCACTGACTGTTCAGAATTGCAGTGTAGTTCTGAGCAGTGATATCTATAATTGGATAATTACAGAGTAGTACACATTTTGTATTTTGGGTTGTATCCGCTTCCTTGGCTGCACACCTCATAGTTTTATCTAGTCCATCTTTATTAGTGCACATAGCAAATAGTAGAGTCATGTCAACACTTCTACATTGTCACCACACCCTACCAAACCACAGCCACCAACACACGCTTAATTTCAATTATTTGGCTCATGACTAACTTTGGTGCTCAAAAAGATGATGCTTATCGAGTGCACATTAAAAAGTACCAAAATATGACAAAGATTTACAAAGAAAACACTTTTTTTTGCCCTTTGCAAAAAAGAACCCTGGACAAAGCACGGCTTTAAACACACACATTCAGTGGATCTCATCCAAACCTTAGATTGCACAGGACCTCCTGTAGCCAGATCACCAAAGCTTTCAGCACTAACCCCTGCTGCAATATGGTTTCATTACTCCTGCTGCATTCTAGCACACAAAATTTAGGTCAACTAAAAACACATTCGGCAATCTTCACTTATGTCCCTTAACCTGCCTACAAAATAAAAAAACTATTGTGAAAAGCCAGCTTACAGCTGTGGATCTCATACTTCATACTCCCCTCTCTGTATGTGTGTCATTTCCCTTCAGAGCCAATGGGAAATCTCCAGGCATAAGAAGCAAAGCAGAAAGAAGGTGATGCATGAAACCTTGAGCCAGAAATGTTAACAGAACATTTCTAAGTGCACATTAGGAACCAGGGGCACGCAAGCCATCCCTGCGCAGCCAGGCACCAGAGACCTGAAGGCCACTGCCTGCGCAGCCAGGCACCAGAGACCTGAAGGCCACTGCCTGCGCAGCCAGGCACCAGAGACCTGAAGGCCACTGCCTGCGCAGCCAGGCACCAGAGACCTGAAGGCCACTGCCTGCGCAGCCAGGCACCAGAGACCTGAATGCCACTGCCTGCGCAGCGAGGGACCAGAGACCTGAAGGCCATGCCTACGCAGCGAGGGACACTGCCTGCGCAGAGACCTGAGGGCCTACGCAGCGACCAGAGACCTGAAGGCCATGCCTACGCAGCAGCGAGGGACCAGAGACCTGAAGGCCATGCCTACGCAGCGAGGGACCAGAGACCTGAAGGCCATGCCTACGCAGCGAGGGACCAGAGACCTGAAGGCCATGCCTACGCAGCGAGGGACCAGAGACCTGAAGGCCATGCCTACGCAGCGAGGGACCAGAGACCTGAAGGCCAGAGACCTGCCCATGCCTACGCAGCGAGGGACCAGAGACCTGAAGGCCATGCCTACGCAGCGAGGGACCAGAGACCTGAAGGCCATGCCTACGCAGCGAGGGACCAGAGACCTGAAGGCCATGCCTACGCAGCGAGGGACCAGAGACCTGAAGGCCATGCCTACGCAGCGAGGGACCAGAGACCTGAAGGCCATGCCTACGCAGCGAGGGACCAGAGACCTGAAGGCCATGCCTACGCAGCGAGGGACCAGAGACCTGAAGGCCATGCCTACGCAGCGAGGGACCAGAGGTGTTTATTTTTTACTCACTGCTGGTTACTGAATCTATTGGTGTGCTGCAGTGGAGCTGGTTCAGCTTACTGTATGCTAAGCGTATCGTGACCATTTATAATTTGATGGGCCACCTAATCTGGTAAGAGGCCCTTTTGCAATGTGTTAAGAGGTGGAGGAACTTTCCTCAGCACTGACACACTATATTGCACCAAGAGGTGGAATTTCATCTGTCACTTACACTTTGTACATTGATTCTTTTCTGGAAGGAGAAATTTCATTGAAGAACACGGTCTATTTTTTGGGGGGGTTTTTAATTCTATGTATGGACACATTTATATCCTATTTTTCTTATTATTGTAAGTTCACTTATATATTTATTGTTTATAATTATCACTTATTTGATTAGCGCTGCTTTTTGTTTTATATTTGGACTAACTGGTATCACAGTTCATAGCAGCTGCTTATACACGTGCATTGGTGACCAAGCGTGGTTATAAGTTTGATTTTTTTTTTTTTTTTTTTTTTTTAGAGAACACAGCCTATAGGTGCAGACAAGAAACAGAAAATGTTCTACAGTTTGCATAGGTCTGTACACTGTACTTGGGTTTACGATAGCAATGCTATATACAGGGGTACAGTAGCACATAGCCATTCATGTCAATGACAGGACTGCCGGTTTGGAGGAAATCTGCCAAAGTTGTACTGCATGACCAGCCCATGTACAAGAAGCCTAGCTGACAACTGAGAAAGTATAGATACTCTATACGGCAGGCTCCCCCTCTATGCAGACAGTACATATAGGGGCTCCCCTTTATACAGACAGTACATATAGGGGCTCCCCCTTATACAGACAGTACATATAGGGGCTCCCCTTTATACAGACAGTACATATAGGGGCTCCCCTTTATACAGACAGTACTTATAGGGGCTCCCCCTTATACAGACAGCACATTTACAGGGGCTCCCCCTCTATACAGACAGTACATAGAGGGGCTCCCTTTATACAGACAGTACATATTACAGGCTCCCCCTTATACAGACAGCACTTTTACAGGCTCCCCCTCTATACAGACAGTACATATAGGGGCTCCCCTTTATACAGACAGTACATATAGGGGCTCCCCCACTTTATACAGACAGCACTTTTACAGGCTCCCCCTCTATACAGACAGTACATAGAGGGGCTACCCTCTCTATACAGACAATACATATAGGCTCCCCCCCTCCCTCTCACAGACAGTACATATAGCCCCCCCCCCCCTTATACAAACTTATGGGTTCCCCCTCTATACAGACAAATACATATAGGGGTTTCCCCCTTTCTACACAACAGTAAATACAGGGGGACCCCCCCCCCTCTATGCAGACAGCACATATAGGGGCTTCCCCCCTCTACGCAGACAGTACATATAGGGGGCACCCCCTCTATGCAGACAGTACATACAGGGCACCCCCTCTATGCAGACAGTACATACAGGGCACCCCCTCTATGCAGACAGTACATACAGGGCACCCCCTCTATGCAGACAGTACATACAGGGCACCCCCTCTATGCAGACAGCACTTTTACAGGCTGACCCCCTCTATAAACAGTACATATGAGGGGGCCCCCTTTATACAGACAGTACATACAGGGGCTTGCCCCAACCCTCTATACAGGCAATACATATAGGGGGGGCTCCCCCCTCCATACAGGCAATACATATACGGGGGGCTCCCTCCCCTCCATACAGGCAGTACATATGGAGGGGGGCTCCCTCCCCTCCATACAGGC